ACTCATTGTTTTTATTATAAACCTTTAGCTATCTCAATACGACACTAAATTTACACTATAACCGCAATTTCAAGTTTAATGAGATAATGCCTTTCAACAATTCTACTACGGTATTTTCTCTACTAGTAGCGAACCGTGGTGAGCCGAGTTTGATGACGATTTTACGGTTTTCAAGCTTTTGCAGAAGCTCAACACTCTAATCTCCGACTAGATCTCATCGTCAGCTACATTTTCCAACCCCACATCGATAGGTTCTGATAAGCGGTTCTATAGATTTCGAGGATTTTAGGCGACGCTCTGGGTGCACTTTTAGAGAGAATACGGTATTAGGCTGTCCAGAAATTCTTTTATCGTTCCTTTTCTAGCTCTAGGGCCGTCCTGCTATCCTAATATTTTCCCTAATAGTAGTGCACCGAGTTGAGGACAATTTTACGATTTCCAACTCTTCTCAGAAGCTCAACACTCTAATCCCCCACTAGATCTCATCGTCAGCTACATTTTCCGACCCCACATCGATAAGTTCTGATAAGCGGTTCTCGAGATTTCGAGCAATGCTCTGGCGACGCTCTGGGGTGCACTACTATTAGAGAAAATACAGTAATTAATCCCAATATTTTAATAAAATTTTAAACCAAAGCCAATCCAAAAGCCAGAAACCCGTCCAAATCCCATCAAAAAAAGGAGTTTGTAGAATATTCAAAGAGGAGCAGAGTTCATGAAAGAGAAACCACAATGGACTCAAAAAGAGAAAGAAAATGATCTCCGTTTGTGATCACCGAAATGAATAAATGAGCATTTCCTGAGATCGCTTCCCAAGAAACAACTAAGTATTCTTTCGTTTTTCAGATCAAATTTCTTTCCTTTTGCCCTGATTTGGACAGAAGAAGAGAAATGACAGCTTTGGATCACATTACGCCTTTTCCTTCTTCCCCCGCTAATCAACGCTGGCCTTGTTTTGACGAGATTTGAGAATCTTCTCGCAAAACATTATAAGTCATGTCTTTCATTCTGATTAAATACACGAAACTTGTTCTTTATGAGAGTTTGTGTTCATCGAAACACACTTTCCTTGATGCACCCTTTCATTTTTTTTGATTTAAGACGGTTGCGAGCTTGTTTTCAAATTCAAATTGTTGTAAACTTTTTGAAATACTTTCTATGCAGCTAATTTGTGCTTAGAAACACACCTTTCCTGGCATATTCACATTGTTTTTGTATGTTCAGGCTTAAAAATAGAAATATATACTTTCTGGTGGGCTTAATGTTCTTTTTTTGAATGTTAGCGAATCTCTGAATGTTAGCGAATCTAACTAAAACTTAGATTTCTCTAGTTCTCTTTCGTCTCAAAAATCCCGTCAACTTGCGCGTAAAGTTCATGCTAATTATGTGAACTTTTCTTGTCTCTCCACTTGTTCAGAAACAAATTGCTTACTTCTTTCCGCATTCATTAGCTTTTTTACTTATTTTTATCAAGATAATCAATAGATATCGAGACTTTTTGAATAAATAATCTGCTAATTCATGTTCATGCTAATTATGTGAACTTTTCTTGTCTCTTCACTTGTCTAGAAACAAATTGGTTGCTTGTTTCCGCATTCATTAGCTTTTTTACTTATCAAGATACTTAGATATCAAGATACAAGATACAGGATCAAGCTCAAGATCAAGATCAAGATCAAGCTCAAGATTAAGATCAAGATCAAGATCAAGCTCAAGATCAAGCTCAAGATTAAGATCAAGATCAAGATCAAGCTCAAGATCAAGATCAAGATACTACTTATCAATACTTACTTACTTACTTATCAATATAAAGACTTTTATATTGATAATCTGCCTTTATTCTATTTTTATAAAGATTTTTGATTATTCAAATCTAATTTCTAATCTAATCTCTAATCTAATTGATTATCTAAATCTAATTTTAGAGCTTTGGAAAGAAAAACGATCAAAAAATGACGACACGAGCCATTCAAAAGCAGCGGCAAATCCCGCGGATCGAGGTTTGTATTTAATGATTTGGATTAGGAAAATCTCCGTTCATTTTGGGAATTTTCAAAAAAAAATGGATTATTTCATGAATTGAGTAGATTTTATCTCAAAAAAAGGCAACAATTAAAGAAAAATTTCAATGAAAATTGATTCATTGAAGCGTTTAATACCAGGAAAATTGAAAATATCTATGGGCAGCCAGTTTACAGTACACTTTTATATATAGATTTTGATAGAAGCTTTGATTTTTATGTTCACTTTTTGTCTATAATGCCATTTTTGAAGCGATCAACTTTCAATCCAAAGTAATCTATGTACTTTTTGCTCGGGATTTGTAAACACACTCTTTCTAATGCACTTAATTTCCTCCGTTTCCTTGTAGAAAGCTTTGATTTCGTGAGAATTGCACCAGAAAAAGTGTGTTTACAAATTTGAGCACAAAAAAGAAACACAGCATATTCAAATGAGTCTAATCATTTGGCGTTTAGATAGCGTTTATATAGCGCTTAGATAGCGTTTAGATAGCGTTTAAATAGCGTTTAGATAGCGTTTAGATATTAAAGCGTTTAGATAGCGTTTAGATAGCGTTTAGATATTAAAGCGTACATAACAGAACGTTAAATTCCTTAAAAATGTTCATTTTTAATGAGTGAGCTAATTGAGAAGTTTCACGTGAATATTTTGACAAGGAAAATGTTGCCAATGAGGGAAGAGAGGGGAAAGGGAAGAGATGCCAATGAGGGAAGAGAAGGCATCCATTTCTCTAGCTGTTTTCCTTGAATCCTTTTTCCTTTTTCTCTAAATAAACACAAAAAACCCTATTTTGGGTATACTGTAGGTACTGAATTGTAGCCAGCTACAAAATTTTGTTTTTACTCTGACAAAATTTCTAGTTCTTCGAGTTATTCTTCATTTGATTTTGCAGCTTTTCTCTAATTTTTAAAAAATAACTTTGCAGAATGCTTTCCTGTTGGTATTGTGCTCAAAAAAATTGCAAACGCACCCTTTCTGGTGCACTTAAATCTTAGCAAATCTTAAAGTGTTTATATTATCCTCAAATGATATAAGAAATAAGAATTGTTGAATGTTTTGGTGAGTGTCGGAGATGTACTTTGAAGGAGCGCATAATCGCGCGCATTCTGGCACACGGAGTAGATAGATACCGAGAAAGAGACCTTCGTCGGAGGTGTACTTTGAAGAAGCACATAATCGCGCGCCTTCTGGCACACGGAGCAGATAGATGCCGAGAAAGAGACTGCCAAAGTCGGTTTAATTACCCAAGTTAGAGGTTGGTGTTAACCCCGAGAGCGACATAAAGTGTCTCGAGAAATTTTAGAACGGATTTCCCTTTTCAGAAGTCCACAAATCTCATAGTCAACAATTCTCATTGTCAACAATCACTTTGAATCCTGAATCCAAAGATTCGTGAAAAAATCGAATAGATTCAGTACGCCAGAAAAGTGTGTGCTTGCAATTTGTAAGCACAAAGTACACGTAACCATGAGCCGCTTTCCCTTCTTCGTGTACTTTGTGCTTTTCCAATGCATCAGAAAGGGTGTGTTTACAGTTTTTTTTGATGCGTCTACAATGAACAGTCAAAATAGCTTCTTCAAGTAATTTGGCTATCCAAAAGTCCGAAATTGAACTTCATTCACGATTTCCCCCCAAGCACCTACGCAATAGTTGCCAAAATATCCAATAAAAATACCCCACTCAGCGTCATTTTGTCGTCTTCTTTTCGCCTTTAGAAAAAGAACTCCTTGAACTTGTTATTGGACTGAAAACGATGAGGAAAAAGCGGAAGTCTCTTCAATTTTCTTTTTCAGCTATCTGACACCTCGTTTTCCCTTCTTTTCTCTAAATGTCATTTCCATTCTCGGGTCTTCTTCCTCTTCTTCCTCTTCCTCTTCCTCTTCCTCTATGTAAGCGCGATGAAACTATATGCCTAGTTATCTATTCTTAACTAATAAACTATTAGTGTTGAGTACTATGTGTTCATATGGCTTGCACTTTTTAGAAACAACTAATGCTTCATTTCACTTACATAAATCTGTTTTTCAGTAAAAGGGTATTTTCATTCTGGACAATCTAATAGGTTTAATTAAAGATTAAGTGGGATACCCGAAACAGAATACCACTCTAATGAATACCAAACAGAATACCACTCAGAATACCACTCTAACACTTTGAAAAGCCGTATCTTTTGTTTTTTTGATTTTGAAAGCCAAGAAAAGAATGCGGACGTGAATTTGCTCAACAGAAACTGCTGAACAGAAACTGCTCAACAGAAACTGCTGAACAGAAACTGCTGAACAGAAACTGCTCACAGAAACTGCTGAACAGAAACTGCTGAACAGAAACTAAAGAAGAAACTCAACAATCGGACAAAAGACTAAACTTCTGTCCTGTTTATCAAAAGTAGAGCAAAAGTTTAGCAGAAGAACATTGCAGAAAAACAAGCTCTACTTAAGAATCTTTGATCCAGAAAACAAACTCCTTAAAATCTCATCGAGAGCTTCAAAATATGTTTTTTTTTTCGGGGGGAAAAAACTAGTGAAGTTGAGAAGGTAAACTCTTAAACAAACTTCTCTTAAACACGCTCAGAGAAACGAAAAAGCAGAAGAGGTCAATTGAACGGGATTTTAGCGCGAAGAACATAAACCCTTTAGGGTAATCGAAAAGGGGAAAGCTTTCTTTATTTTTTTTTCCTTTACCTTCTTTTTCTCTCTCATCCGATTCACATCCTTCTCATTTATTCCACTCTTTTCCCCATAAAATCGTCTCTTTCAAATTGAAAATCGCCTTTCAAATCGCCTCATTTTAGGGTAACTGCATTTTCCCTAAATTTCACAGAATCCAAAATCTTTCCATGCTTTTGTCCTTATCTTTAGCTTTAGCATTTGTTTGTTTTTTGAAGTTCTTGCAGCAATTCTTCAATTCTTGAACAATTCTTGAAGTTTTCGTCTTTTTCTTCTTCTTCTTCTTGTATTTGACTTCTTAAGCCGCTGAAAATGAAATTGTTTGATCGCTGGCTCTCGTTGCCCTACAATGACTATATAGAGGTGGGCAAAAATGGGGAAAAATGGGGAACAATGGGCTTAAACTAAAAATAAGACTTTCAGCAAGCCTTTGAACTTTATTATTGAACAAGTTAAGCTCTTTTTTTCAGATCCGAAGAAGCTCATCGCTGCAATTTCCGATGGAATCCGAGCACTGTATGCCGTTGCCGACTTCGCACACGCAGGTATTCAATTATTGATATGTTATTGATATATTATTGATTTATTATTAATATATTATTAATATATTATTCATATATTATTCATATATTATTGATATATCAACCAAATTATTCTTTTAAAACCAATTTTCCTTGAAAGCCAGATTCTGACGCGGCTTTTAGCCTTGCCTTACTTTACTAAAAGATCTACTAAAAGTTTAGTCTACAGAAAGTACTTGAACATGACAGTAATTAGGTCTGGAGATGATTTAGGCTTTTGAGAACTATTTTAGGAAAGAATTATGGTCAGTACAAGATACAAGAACATTAAGGTTATTTCAAAGTGAAAGCTAGATTTGGGTCTGTCTTTTTTGAAGTGAACCTGGCTTACAGTTTAAGTTTGGCTTGTCTCTAGCAAAGGCTAAGCTCTAGGCTCTCTAGACTTGTCTCTAGCAAAGGCTAAGCTCTAGGCTCTCTAGACTTGTCTCTAGCAAAGGCTAAGCTCTAGGCTCTCTAGACTTGTCTCTTGTCTCTAGCAAATAGTCTTTTATACATTTCAGACTATATTCTTGATATACTAAAGAATCAAATGATTCAGGGAAACTCAGAAAAAAAGATAAATAGCTAAAATTTGAGATTGATCTGCTGAACACAAAAACGGCGACGATCTCAAGTTCGATGTACACGCTGACGCAAATCTCTGAGAGTGCCAGCGCGATGAACTTGTACACGATTATGGCAAGGTGGATTGGGATTTGAAATTAGATAAAGATATTGATAAAGATAAAGATAAAGATAAAGATAAATCTTTTTCGATCAATCAAAATTCCAGATATCGATGCTGTTTCGGGTTTTGTCGGCTCCGGGTGGGCGGTTGTGTGATCGCCGCGTTCTCGATTTGCATGTCGGTGATAAGTGAGTGGATTCAGGAACATTTTCACAAACTTAACTACAATAATCCTTTGTTATTAATCTTTATTATCGATCAAATTACAGCTTTATGCCTCATTCTCTCATTGGCTCATCAATTAACGAAAGGTTTTCAAGATATCTTTCTACTGCCACTCGTTTGCACATCGTTATTTCAAGTGGGTGAAGCTTTCAAGCACTTTAACCCATTCAAAACACCACTATTTTGAGTGTACAGTCGCGTAGTTGTTAACTGTTTTATTAATAACTAATAATCTCACAAATCTCCTTCTTCAGGTGGCCTCAGCGATGAGTCTAATCGTCGGGATTCTCATCGAGAATCATCTCCTCATTTTACCCTTCATCGCCAATATTATCATTCAAATTCTGCTCCACATGGCCTTAACAATCATTTTTCTCATTACTTCAAATCATTCGGATGTGAGTTTTTCAATAATTTTCTTGTTTTTAAAGAAACAATGTGTCAAGAACAGAGATTGTTCAAACTCTGGGTGTAGCTAAGCTTTAGTCTGGATTTGAATATCTTTAGGATATTTGAAGGATTTGAATAACTTTCGAATATCTTTAGAATATAATCTACCCACTTTTGGCTTTCTTCTAGAAATAGGAATAGAATTGGAACTATAAGGAAGCAAATAGGAACCAAATAGGAACCAAATAGCTAGCTACACTTATAAGCTAGCTATAAGGAACCAAATAGGAACAAATAGGTGTCAAAAGCAGAGATTTTTCAAACTCTGGGTATAGCTTTAGTCTGGAAGAATTTGAATATCTTTAGAATATCTTTAGAATATAATCTACCCACTTTTTGCTTTCTTCTCGAAATAGGAACTGAATTGGAAACAGGAAACATTTCAGGAAACAAATAGGAATCAAATAGGAACCAAATAGGAACTATAAGGAACCAAATAGGAAAAAAATAGGTGTCAAGAGCAGAGATTGTTCAAACTCTGGGTGTAGCTAGGCTTTAGTCTGAAAGAATTTGAATACCTTTAGAATATCTTTAGAATATAATCTACCCACTTTTGGCTTTCTTCTCGATTTTCATCGTCGCTCTTTATGTTTGGTTTATGGCATTGACAGCGATGACATTTGTGTTGATCAGGGATAAGAAAAGATTTAAGTGAGTCGATGAATGAATGAAAACAGAAAAATCAAGGTAAAGAAGTACAGAAAGATTTAAAGAAGATTTAAAGATAAGATTTTAATTAAAATTTAGTTTGAAATGTATCTCTTTTTAAAGTAAATGGATTTATTGAATCAGAATTGAAAAAAGAATTTGTTTAGGTGAAAATTGAGTGAGCTTTATTTAATTTAGTCCAAACAAAAGCCAAAGTCTGACTCTGGAAGAGCTCTGAAATCCAGGGCTCTGAAAGAGCTCTGGATAGGAGGAAATGTCAAAATCGTCAATTTGAATCGACATAAAGTACTTTTTGAGATAAGTAAACTTTTTGAAAAGAAAATTTCTAACAGAACGTTTCATTTGTCTCATTCAGATGGGAACTCGACGAGAATTTCGCGAATGCTCAACAAAAACCGATGGATCGAGTGAGCAGCTCGTATTTTTGAGAAGAAAAATCATCAAAACTCATTCAAAATCATTCAAAATCATCCAAAATCATCAAAAATCATTCAAAATCATTCAAAATCATTCAAAAATCATTCAAAATCATCTCAAATCACCCAAAATCATCCAAAATTCAAGCTTTTTCTTTTAAACTAACAAATTCTTATTTAAAAATCTCTTTAACGGGTTGGAGACGTTTGTTTTTCTCAAGTTTCTTGTAGCTTTAAACTCTTAGAGATGATCTCTTTTCCGGTGCCTTTGGGAATTTTTTGAAACTTAGAAATAAACTCTTTTATATTTTAAATACTCTTTAATAAACTCTTTTAAAATAGCAAAATACACAGATTACAGTACACAGATCACAGTACACAGATTACAGTACACAGATTACAGTACACAGATTACAGTGCACAGATTACATTCCTTTTTTTAAAGTATTCGAATATTTAAAAAGCTTAAAGAGATTCAGATTCATTTAAAAAGCTTAAAGATATTCAGTTTGAAGAGACGAGAGACTCCAAAATACACACAGAATCTGTGAGCATGGAATTGAAGAATTATGCATTTTAAATAGCTTTTACTGATAAGTTTTTATGAAGATGAGTAATCAGATTTGGGAATTTCGAAAATTTTCCCAATGTGGACTTTTGGATTTTGGAAATGTGGATTTTCCGATTTGCAATTTTCTTTGCTTTCTCGACGATTTGTCGAGCGGGATCATTTGATGCGAGAGAGTTCCAGAAGTACAAATATCAGGTGGATAACTCTACGCTTACTGTACAAATATCAGGTAGATAACTCGCTTACTGTAGACTGAATCCTGATTTCGATTAAACTAACAAATTCTTATTTAAAAAGATCTTTAAATAAGATAACGGGTTGCAGACGTTTGTCTTTCTTAAGCTTCTTGTAGCTTTAAACCCTTCGAGCTGATCTCTTTTCCGGTGCCTTCACTTAAAAAAACTTGGAGTCTTTTCTAAAGCTATCTTTCGAAAGCTATCTTACGAAAGCTATCTTACGATAACTTTCGAGAGCTATCTTAGGATAACTTACGATAACTTACGAGAGCTATCTTACGATAACTTTCGAGAGGTATCGTAGCTATCTTTCGAGAGCTAGCTTACGATAACTTTCGAGAGCTATCGTAGCTAACTTTCGAGAGCTAGCTTACGATAACTTTCGAGAGCTATCGTAGCTATCTTTCGAGAGCTAGCTTACGATAACTTACGAGAGCTATCTTACGATAACTTACGATAGCTATCTTACGATAACTTTCGAAAGCTATCGTAATCTCTAGATGATCTATTTCGATAACTTTTGTCTACTTATCCAATCTACTTATCCAATCTATCTACTTTTTATAATCTTTCGATCTCCTTAAACTAAAAAATAGATGAATTGGATGAAAAGTAAAGGCAAGATTCCGATCATTTACTCTAAAACTCAAAATTTCTCTTTAGATCGAGCTTGACGACAAATTGGCCGGCTTTCCAAGCAAAGAGGAATACATGAATTTGAGCTTTGAAGATGAGAGTCAAATCGAATCGTTTTTCCTCCAGCAAATCCCATCGGTAAAGCATTTTTTTGGTAACTTTTGGATAACTTTTGGATAACTTTTCGATAACTTTTGAATAACTTTATAATTCATTAGCTCAATTGAGAACTTTTTCAGGAAACCGATCCACGAAATCATTTCATCACGAACAAAGCCGGTCAAAAGTTCCTCTGTCAATTGCCGGACAGTGAAATGGTTTGGAAATGGAAACATTTTGAAATTAGATTGTTTATTATCAAATTTAGGTTAATGCCAAAAAAACGGAGATAAATGGCGACAGTTTACACCCAAAATACATAAACGAGATCGTTAGCGTTTCGTTTTTAAGATCAAAATGCATAAAAAAGGTGGGATTTCAGAAGTTTAAACGATTTTTTTGATTGTTTATATTAGAAATGTTAGTTTTTTTTATCTAAAACTTCAAAAACAACTTCATTTTTCCAGCAAATCGGCTGGTGGCATTATGAGTTCTGTCATGGGAAAATGATCACCCAAAGTCATTCAACGAAAGGAAGTGAGCACGGCATTTGATATTGTTTTTTTGATTACATTGATTGATTGATTGATTGATTGATTGATTTTTGAGAAAACTGACTCGAGAATTTGAAGAAGTTTCTCTTTAGCTCTCTTTCTCTTTAGTTTCTTTTTAGAATCCGACTTTATTCAGTACACTCTTGGCACATTTATGGGTGATCGTCGAATGCCCGACTTCAATCAATCGACAAAAGACAAGTACGCGAATGGTTTTTTCGAATTTTTCAGCATAGATTTTGTATATAAATAAGTTTTAAGGCTCCTAAGCCAAAAACGTCAAAAAAACTTGAAAACAAATGAACCTTTAGACTCCTTTACCTTGAGGAAGAATACCCGATGGGCACTTTTTGCGATGTACTCGGGAAGAAAGTCGCTCGGAAAACCATTGTTCGCGTAAGAGATTCTTTGGCATAAGAAACCCGCTTTGGACTCAGAGATTCTTTAATTTTTCTTTTTTCTTTAAGCCTTCTATGGGAAACCCTATCAATCTGCTGAATTTTAGTATGAATGTGATCTAAAACTCTTCACCGAAGAAGCCTACATTCAGAGTATCGTCGAAACGTCCACTTGTCAATATTTGATGATCAGTGAGTCTTACACAAGAGGAAAATGAACAGTACTTGGTCGTTCACTCAAGTATTCAAAACCAAATAACTTTCCAATCTACTTTGCGCGTACTTTGGCGGAGCCCACAACCGCGCGCCTTCTGGCACATGGGGCAGATAGATACGGAGAAAGAGACCTTTCGAGTTGGTTTAATTACCCAAGTTAGAGGTTAGTATTAACCCCGAGATCCACATAAAGTGTCTCGAGAAATTTTGGAACGGATTTCCCTCTTGGGAAGCCCACAAAACTCAACAATTCGATCACTTGTGATTCTTCGCTCCTTTTTTGAAGATCTAATCTAAAATCAAATCTAAATCCCTCTACAGGTTGATTTTGTAAGTTGTATACTGTAAAGCTCCGAGAATAAAGAAAATAAAGTTGAAAATTCAAAAAGCAATCGATTTGCTTTACTACGATTTACTTTGTTAATTTGTGTAAAAATGGATTCCCAAGTCATAGGCCGATCCACAAAAATATAAAAAGCTTACGACACTCGGGATTCCCAAGCCGTCGGGATTCCCAAGTACTAACCGAGCCCAACGTTGCTTAACTTGGCAGATCGGACGGGATGCCGTGTTCTCAACGTGGTATGGTCGTAAGCGAGTGTGCGGCTCTGAGAGACGGCTGAAATAGAAGGTCGCGAACACGAGAGAGCATCAGCTCTCGCAGAGACGCGAGACGACACGACTGTGTGTACCTTTCGTGTGCGTCGTAGGGAAAAGCGGCATCTCGCACATGGCTAGTCCACATACCGAGACAGAGACCCCACTCTTCGGTTTAATTACCCAAGTTTGAGGTTAGCATTAACCCCGAGACCTTCCAACAGTGTCTCGAAAAAATTTTGGAACGCGTCCCCGCTAGGGGATGCAGAAAGAAACTTAAAGATCGGGGATGGGATGAGGCTTTGATGCTATGATTTCATTTTTATTGTGGTTTATCAAGAAATGTGTCAACTCTTCACTTCACTTCACTTTCATTGAAACGGTGGCACGGAGATCACACAGGAGATCGTGCACCATATGATAGAGAAAATTCTGAGAAATAGGGGTTCTCCTAGTGCTAAAAATGGATCCCCAGCATTCTGTCGCTGTCAAATGAGTGAGATTTGTGAAATTTCGAGTAGTTGGTTCCCTTTTGGAGAATTTCAAAAATTCTAGCTGAAATGGTGATGAAAAGTGAGGTTGGGAAGTGTACTTTGGGGGAACCCACAATCGCGTGCTTTCTGGCGCACGAGGCAGATAGAAATGAAACTTTTAGTCCAAACCGGCTCTTTATGTCATCTTGCTGAATTCATCCCGACCGACGACCTCGTTGCACCACTTGGGATCAAATGTTCACCTTACATTGATCAAGAAAAGACAAAACAGTTTGCAAAAAGAATTTTCGGAAAGATGACGAGAAAAGTGAAAAAATTTTTGGAATAGTTTTAGTAGGAGATTATTTAGAAAGAAGGTGAACGCTTGTTGCCGATTGTGATGGAGAAATTGAAATCCGCCTACAGGAGACTTTACGCTTTCAAAAGAACCAGATTGGTTAGGTGAGAAAAATTATGAAAAAAAAAAACGAGAATCCAAGAGAGATCGAATGAGATCAAATTAAGTAATTCAGACAAAATTTGAACGAAAGATTATGGTAGTTTTTTTTGTTTAATTAGCCACTTTTTATCCACCAATCAATACAGTGCTTAAATTTTAGCGAGGAACGGCGAAATTTTCGACTTCAACGTCGAATCAACTCGCAAATCAGAGTGTTAAATCGTGAACTTTTGGAGGCTTTATACATGAGTCTGTTTTAAGCCTTTAACTCGTCTTAAACTCAACTTTCACTTCTAAAATCTTATTCTAAATCACTTTCAGAAGTGGAAGGTGAAAAGTTGGATGAGAAGAACTTTCGAAAAATGGAATCCCTCACGAAACTCAGTGAGGTCGCTGTGGGACGTGGTGAGTGGATAGGAAAATCGAATTTGACCAACCAAGTCCATGTTTCAATTGTTCCAATTGATAGACTCAAGAAAATGAATAGCTTCAATCAATTCCCTGAACACCCTGAACACCCCCGAAAACCCCGAAAATTTCAAATTGAGAAAGAAATGATATTTTTCAGGTTAACGATCGGTTGTAAAATCTTCGTTTCTTTACTTTTCCATAAAAATCCTTCAATTTCTTTTGACTTATTAAATGAAATTTGAAAAACAAACTTCATTGCGGTGAGCATCGACCAAATGAAATAATTCGAGATGATCAAAAGATAAATCGTGCTTGCTTAAAGTTGCTGTTACTGAATTATATTCATTAAAAATAACTTAATTATTCATTTTGCAACTTTCAGATCCACATTTCAAAAGTTGAAATAATAATACAGCCCGTAACAGTACTGATTTTGCCATCTCGATTTTGTCAAGAATCCTTAAGCCACTTCTCGAAACTGTTCTCAAATTCGGAATCTCCGACCTCGATTCCATTTACACAAAAATTTTCAGCTTAATCGGTTAAGGGAGTGCTTGTAAATTGACGATTGAAAGTCTCCTAGGCCCTTGAAATGAAACCGCGACCTCTTAAAGACCCTTTTTTTTGAGCGGTCAGCCGCATCGTGGTGGGCGCCTGTAAGCCAGCTTCCTGGCCGCTGGGTGTGGAGAAGAGGGTGAGACCGGGAAACACGGGATCGGGCTCCTGGCCGACGACCGAACGTCCACACCAAGCGGCACCTCGTCGGAGGGTGCACCCCAACGGGGGGGGGGGCAGTCTTGGGCGGCCAAGGACTATGGCGAGCTCCGAAAGGGAGCAGGCAATAGTCCCCGCGTGTCGCAGTGGTGGGATCGCGTTCGGAGGTCGGGCGAACGGTGCCACCCCTCGACTCCCCGCTCCTACACACCGCAAATTTTTGGAGAAATTTGGATCAAAGATTTCTTTTCGTTGAAAAATGAAGGATTCGATCATTTTAGTTCTTCTAGGACACTTTTACTATTAGTTCAGCCTTTGAAAATTCAAATCCGAACCGGACTTGAGGTTTTGTAAATTAGACAGGCAAATTTGGATTTGGCAATCCTAATTCTGACCCCTTCTCCACAAATCTCCAAATTTTATGAAATGAAATTTATATTATAGAAATATACGAACTGCTCAAGGATTGGGATAAAGGGAATTTCTACTACTACTTGATGGATCGAGAATGGCCAAAAGATGAATACCCGAGAACGCTCGATTATGTTGATGTGGGTTTTTTTGGTGTTTGGCTAGGGGCAACGGTGCTTATTTATTGGCTGATGTTTGGCTAGGTGCTTATTTAAATTGAAACTTGATATAAAAAAAAAGACATTTCTTTATAACCTTTTTACAATAGCTTTTCATTTTCACAATTCACTTTTCAGTTTCTGAATGGATATCACGTTGAGATCGAGGAATTGGCAGCTCTAGCTCGCACTGGTCAGTTTTCTTTATTTTCAATCATAATCAAAACCGATTTATATAAGTTTCAATTCGTCAATAAAACCTTTCTAGAAGAAGATGCTGAATGGATTCGTTTGTTCTCGAAACTTGATCCAAATCTTTGGCAACACAATCTGTTTGTCAATAAAGAGCAGGTTTCTAATTTAGCCGGTTTCTAATTCTAATTTCAATTTCAATTTCAATTTCTTTTTGTTTGTTTAGATGTTAGAAAAACTAGTCGAGAATCTGCCGGTTTGGTTTCCAAAAATGAGCGCGAAAGCCATATTCGAGAACGCCGGAAAGGAGGATTTTATGAGAAAGGTTTGGAAATGTGTTTGGAAATAATCGGAAATCGAAAGTGTTAATTCTCATCTGAAGTTTTCTAAATGAAATTTTGTGATTCTGCAGTGGAGAAGGTAGTCAATCTTTGAAAGAATCTACTTGGCTTACGGTAGATTATATTAGGTTGATGCAAAAGTCTTTTTCATTTTTTTCGTACTTCTGTTAAAAAGTAACAAATTCACGAATTAATCTATAGTTTGCTCTATAAAAAAAGTGTTTTTTTGTTCAATTTGCATCTTTTTAAATGAATTTCGGTTCACTTTGAAGCAAATTCGAGAGTGAAAAACGCCTTTTTCGTAAAAATCTATAAAAAACTCTACGGAAAAATTGGCTGAATGAATTTCTCTGAAATTTTGGCGAAATATCAAACGTTTTTTTTCTCTATCTTTTATCTATTGACACGAAGATAGGTTTTCTTTAGCTAAGGTGTCTAAACCGCATCATCGAGTTAGCCCTTTTTGACTACCCGACTTCATACTCTCAAGAAAATCCAGGCATTTCTTTAGCTAAGGTGCCTAAACCGCATCATCGAGTTAGCCCTTTTTGACTACCCGACTTCATACTCTCAAGAAAATCCAGGCATTCAATATTTTTAAACCCGTTTTAATGTTATTTTGCAGAAAAATAATTGCTTTTTCTAATGAAATCAACCGTAGTTTAATTCGTGCATTTGTTGGCTTGAAACGGCAGACGAAAAGGAACGAAAACACTTATGCATCAACCTAATAGATATTTTGATAAGCAATAGTCGCTAGGTCAAATAGGAAATCGATTACGCTAGAAATGTTGACTAATAATCCAGAGTTCGTTTAAAAAAATCACTTTAAGAACAATGGAAGTTTTTTGCCAATAGAAGAACAATAGAATGAATAGAATGAACGCCAATAGAAGAACAATAGAAAGAACAATAGAAAGAACAGTAGAAGAACAGTAGAAAGAACAGTAGAAGAACAGTAGAAAGAACAGTAGAAAGAACAATAGAAGAACAATAGAAAGAACAATAGAAGAACAGTAGAAAGAACAATAGAAGAACAATAGAAGAACAATAGAAAGAACAATAGAAAGAACAATAGAAAGAACAGTAGAAAGAACAATAGAAAGAACAGTAGAAGAACAGTAGAAAGAACAGTAGAAAGAACAATATAATGAATAGAATGAACAATAGAAGCCAAAGAAGTTTATGATTTTCAAACGATAAAACAAAACTTAAAGCTTGAGAACTTCAGTTAGTCGATCGCTATTACCTATCAATCGTCTAGAATTAGGATTTCTATCACGAGGGTTTAGACAATAATAGAAGTTTTTTGCCAATAGACGAACAAAAGAATGAATAGAATGAACGCCAATAGAATGAACAATAGAATGGATAGAATGGATAGAATAGATAGAACGGATAAAACGAATAGAATGGATAGAATGAATAAAACGAATAGAATGGATAGAGTGAACAATAGAAACCAAAGAAGTTTATGATTTTCAAACGATAAAACAAAAGTTTAAGTTTAAAAACTTTAGTTAGTCGATCGCTACTACCTGTCAATCATCGAGAATGAGGATTTCTATCACGAGGGTTTTAAGTGAGTTGTTAAACTCTCAACAGTTTTCAGTTGTCAAACAAAGAAACTCTCAACTCAAAGATTTCAGTGCTCATCTAAATGAGGATCTGGTTGATTCAATTTCACATTATGTTTTGATTGTCTGGGTAAATTGATTGAAAATTAACATTGGAAGAACTAAAAAGAACTAAAAAGTTTTAGTTTCAAGAGGATTCATCTATCAATCGAATTTCGTGGTCGAATTTCTGGATGAAACATTTGAAATTGATGGAAATGATGATGGTAGCAACGCAATATGGGAAAATCATCTACTCGGTAATTGTTGGATACCTTAAAGTTGTAGGAAAGTTGTAAGAAAAGAAATTTCGAGAATCAAATTTCCTAATTAAGGCAAAACTGAGTGTGGTGATGTAAATGGACGCTTTTAACGCCTGTTTCCTATCAAAAGAGTTCTTGTTTTCTAAAATGTTTAAAAACAAACGTAATTGTGCTTCTAGTTTTTCAATCTATGCGAAATTTAGAAGAAATTCAGAAGAAATTCAGAGAGTTTTGATAAAAACTAAAGGGATCTTATAGGTTTTTCAAAGAGTTTTGTTTTGGATAAGGTTTGGATAAGGTTTGGATAAGGTTTGGATAAGGTTTGGATAGAGTTTTGGATAAGGCTTGGGATAAGGTTTGGATAAGGTTTGGATAAGGTTTGGATAAGGTTTGGATAAGGTTTGGATAAGGTTTGGGATAAGGTTTGGGATAAGGTTTGGATAAGGTTTGGATAAGGTTTGGATAGAGTTTTGGATAAGGCTTGGGATAAGGTTTGGATAAGGTTTGGATAGGGTTTTGGATAGAGTTTTGGATAAAGCTTTCGATAGAGTTTTGGATCAAGTTTTGGATAAAGTCTTGGATAAAGCTTTGGATAGAGTTTTGGATAGAGTTTTCGATAAAGTTTTGGATAAAGCTCATCGGTGATTCAATTTTAAAAAACCTACTTATACAAAAGTACTTGATTGTAATAGATAGATAATAGAACATAGTTTACTTTGAAATTTGTGTATTTTAGAGTGAAAACCCAAACGCTGTGGATGTGCTTGGACGTGCTTTCGATCCGGATGAGGTTGAATTGGCTGAGACAATGGATTGGCATGAGTAAGAGAACGGAATAAAAGAATAAAAGAGATAAAAGAGATAAAAGCTATAGATATAAAATAGAGTAAGAGACTAAAGAGCTGTAATGATCAAATAAGTATTTTAGATATTATGAGTACATCGAGGGAACTCTAATGCCCGGGAAGCGACACAGCATTCGCCATGATCAAGAACAGGTTAATTTTTGTAAAAATAAAGCATCATCCTATAATTTTAACTGTTTTTGAAATCAATTTCGATTTTGGAAATCAATTTCAATTTAGAAATAAATTCAGTTAATCAATTATATTGTTTCTTTTATTTTTAAACATTTAGTTACTCATTGCGCGAGCTCAAAATCTTCGCCAAACCATTTTTGAAGAGATTTGGGCACAGAAAAAGGAGGAGATCACGGAAAGCTGGAGGGAAAAAGTTTGTGAATTCAATGGCTACAAATTTAAGAAAACAAAAACAATTTTAAAGTCGATAACAAGAAGTCAGTGATCACAAATAAAATCCAGATAGTATCCGAATCAATCAGAGGCCAGAGCTGGCTAGCTGGATCTAGCTTTGAACTTAAAGACTTTGAATTTAAAATAGGAACTGAATTTGAAGCCTTACAGAGAGAACAGCCTCACAGAGAGAGCAGTTTATTTGCTCAGAAGTTTCCTAAGTTTGAAAAACGGCAAAGACATCAAAGAGGAAAGACAAAGAGAAATTTAGCTGCTATTAGAGCTGCTCGACGAATTGGAAAAATTGAGTGACACAGTTGCTGAAGAGATTGACAAGAGAAGGCTAGCGGAACTCTATCAGAATGAGGACAAAGTGGAATTGGTGAAGATGTTGACGGAGAAAATAATTGAAGGTTCGGGGAAAGCTTCATCAAAAGCTCTTTATCTTCATCAAGTTATCAAGATTTTTCTGGTTTTTAGATGAATTCCAGAAGATCATCGAACTCTATGAAATATTCACTGAAGAAGAGGTGAGTGATTGAAGGGAAAGTTAAAAAACTATCAAAAAAAAAAAGCATCTCTGCAAGCAATTTTCATCACAATCACCTCAATCTTTCGATAAAAGTTTATAAATCTTTTCAAATTCTTTATTTAAATCATATTTGAATAGTTCTTTTGCTTTAATTTAACAAAATAAGACTTTTTCGATAAAAAAGATAGAAAATTGAAGAGATTGCACATTCCAAGCGGTAGATCCTAATAGAAGATTGACTGATTGACTAATAGGAGATTGATTGATTGACTAATAGAAGACTGACTGATTGATTAATAGAAGATTGATTGATTGACTAATAGGGGATTGATTGATTGACTAATAGGAGGTTGATTGATTGACTAATAGGGGATTGATTGATTGATTGACTAATAGGAGATTGATTGATGGACTAATAGGGGATTGATTGATTGACTAATAGGAGATTGATTGATTGATTAATAGAAGATTGATTGATTGACTAATAGGAGATTGATTGATTGACTAATAGAAGATTGATTGATTGACTAATAGAAGATTGATTGATTGACTAATAGGAGATTGATTGATTGACTAATAGAAGATTGATTGATTGACTAATAGGGGATTGATTGATTGACTAATAGAAGACTGGCTGGTTGACTAATCCTAATTGACTTCGAATCTTTTCAATAAAATGAAGTCAATAACCTTTTTAATTCAAATATGACTCATTTTCATATCAGCTTTAATCAAAAGATTGAGATGATTTTGATGAAAATTGCCGGCGATGTGATCTATTTTTTTTTCAAATAGTTTTCACGAGTACAGTCGAGGTCAAGTTTTATTCACTTTTTTATTTTTATAGATTATTTTGATTGTTTTCCAATGAAATTTATCTTCGTGAACAAGTTTTTTAAAAAATTACAAGCCTTATAGAGGCGGTCAATAATTTACAGGCATTCGAGTTCGAATTCGTGAAAACTTTTCGCCAAAAACCCTGCAAACGCGAGATATTTGGCTTTAAAGTTTTAGAATTAACTTCTTGGGGCCTGTTTACGAAAATGAAAGAGTGGGGCAAGAGCTCGAACCATAGACAAACAATGATGCTAAATTTAGATTTGAAATCCTTTTTTCATTAGCTCTTGAACTCCAAGAGAGAGCTATGCTCGAATAGGCTTAGGCTTAGGCTTAGGCTTAGGCTTGGACTTAGTGCGAAGGCTAGCGGCTAGCGCCTAGCACTAATTCTATTTGGGTTTGGGCTGAACCCCTATTTTTTGGATTAGGCTTAGGCTTAGGCTTAGGCAAACAATGATGCTAAATTTAGATTTGAAATCCTTTTTTCATTAGCTCTTGAACTCCAAGAGAGAACTATGCTCGAATACCAAGCTTTTGATCTGAATATCGATTTCCCTTTACGTCAAAACTTTTTGCTTTTTTAAATTCTTTAATTACATTCTTTAATTTAATTCATTTTTCCTATGGAACAAGTTTTCCTGCCAGAAACTAAACAGCAAATATAAGAATAACAAAAAGCATGTTCGTAGGAGTAAGCATTATCTAGCTGTAGGAGTAAGCGTTATCTATGATATCATCGACAAACAAGGATGTTAAATTTAGACTTGAAATCCTTTTTTTCATTAGTTCTTGAGAAAAACATTGTTAACTGTGGTTTGAAACGTTTCTGTTTTTGGTTTCGAGTCATTTTCTTGTCAGCCGATTGAATTAAGGAAACAAAAAGAAAGATTAACAGAAAAATTCTTCTCCAAGCTTAGTGAGATAAGAGATTTTACAGAATCTCTGAAAGTAAAAGATAAATATTAATATTCTAATATAAAAACATACTAAAAGTTTTAAAGGAGTAAAGAAAAAAAAGACTTTTTTTCAGCTCCAATTTCTTTATGAATTCTTCGTGATTAAAGGAGTCGATGATATGTTGTTGATGATGGAAAAAAGGAAAGCGGCGAAACAAGAGGAGAACTATTGGGGCAATTTTGGAGGATTCGATGATGATGGAGAAGAGGAAGAAGAAGAAGAAGAAGAAGAAGAAGATTAAGAAGACGAAAATAAGGGGAATTCGTGAAAATGCTCAAATTTCACATAAAATCCAAAAACTTTTGCACAAATTTGCCTGCTCATCAATTTCTACGGTGATCTTCTGAAGATCTTTTCTTTTCTAAATATTGGGTTGGTGAATTGAAAACTGCGGGCTATTGTCATATGTGACAGTTTGAGCACTTTCTTCAAAAGAAACCCATTTTGGTGTCAATGGAAAAGTTGTAGAGAATCAAAAATCAAGCTTATATCCAAATTTTCAGAACGATTCAAAAACTGGTTTTCCAGAAATGCCAAATTTACGAATTTTCACAAAACTTACATTTTAAGCGAAACTACTAAGTGTATCTTTTTGAAAATTTGGCTATAAGCCTCATTTTTGATTCTCTACAACTTTTCTATTGACACCAAAATGGGTTTCTTTTGAAGAAAGTGCTCAAACCGGGCTGACAGCTGACAACTCCAGTCCTCTATTTCCGAGTCTCACACTTGTCTCACACACAAACCAGAATCCAACTACGAAAGAGGAATCCGCAAATTGCCTGTAAAATGGGCAGAAGTCGTCAATAATAATGGAAATTATTTGGAATGAATTCATGGTTTTATGTTGAATAAATTTTAGTTCAAAGTCCAGCAGTTTTCAATTCACCAACCCAATATTTCTACGATGATCTTTTCTTTTCTAACTACTTTAGGGTAATCTTAGCTGCTTTATCATTTCAGGATATTCTTCTTTTTGCCTTAAAATTTGCAATATCATGTTGTTGCTTTTGTTTTATTTTAATGAATCAGTTTTTTCAGAGTTCCCATTTTGTGTCCTATTTATTTTACGAGATTTCTAAATACTTTATAAATTCCACTAGTCAGCGATCAATTTTTTGATTTCTTCATAAATGAAAATGCTTAGTAAATTGTAGAATTGTAATTGTAATTGTAAATAAACATTTCTAACTTTATGCTTAAATGCTTAAAACTCAAAAACAGTCTTTTTGTTAAACTAGAGTTTTAAAGTGTTATTGGGTTGGGGAGAATGAGTCGGCGCCGAAATTTAAAGAAACTTTTTGCACCCATAAAACCTTGTTTAAATACACGTTTTGTTTCATCAAAATGGTCGACTATTTCTTTACAAAATGGCTTTTGAGAGATTCCACAAAGCTTTCCTTTTTTGGGATTTTATGGATTCCCAAACACAGCTAATCAAAATGACAAAAAGTCCGACTCATTGCTTGAACAGTTTCTTCCACATAAACCTCCTTTGGTGTTTATATAAAAAAGATAGAGCACACTCAATTACATAAGTTACCAAATTTTCAGGAAGATCCCTCCAACCGTTTACTCTAGATGACAGTTTATCGATTTTGTGAAAAAATGGTCTTCTGTTGAGCTGAGGCGCTGTTTGAGTTCTCTTTTAAATGTCATTTTGTAGAGAATTAGTTAACCTTTCTACTGATATCAAACGCTTTTCATTTGACAAAGTCTGCTATAAGTTTTAGAAATTTCTTTCATTTTCGGCGCCGACTCATTCTCCCCAACCCAATAAATAAACATTTCTAACTTTATGCTTAAATGCTTAAAACTCAAAAACAGTTTTTTTGTTAAAATAGAGTTTTAAAGTGTTACTTTGTTAAAGTTTAAAGTAATAAACTAGTAGCTAAAGTAATAAACTAGTTAGACTGTAGCTAGTTAGACTAAACATTTTCCAACTCTATCAGTTTTCAATTCAAACAAAAGCTCTTCTATTAGGTTGTCCAATAAGTAATGCGTGTTTTGACACGATTTTCAAAATATCACAAAATTAACAAAAGGACGAGCATTGTCAAACTGCAGTTTAATCATCGAAGTGTCCTCTCCTTTACGACAAAGAGCTTGCTGCACTCTTTCCAATTGTTGAGAGTACAAGTCAGCAACGACTGGCCTTCCAGCGCGTTCCTCGTCCTCTAACGACTCGTTTCCGTCCGCAAATCGTTTAAACCAGCGCTGGCACTGGCTGATTGAAATTGAATCCTCTCCAAATGCGGCACAGATAGTTCGATGACAATCCGCTGCAGTTTTACCTCGTTTGAAATCATACAGCATTGATGCGCGGACAACAAACTTTTTGTCTTTCATCTGCAAAGCAACATATCTATTATAAAACAAAGGCAAATAAATAAAATAATATATAAAAATAAACACAAGATGCTGATGATTAAAAAGAACATATATTTGCTCGAAGCGATTTCGCAATAGTTTCGAAATAAGTAACACGCATTACTTATTGGACAACCTAATATTTTATCTTTGTATATGTCGTAGCCGATGATGAATGAGTGAGTCTAGGAGCGTCCAACCATCAAGTGATTGGTCTTATTCAACGCAAAATCATTGATAATTATGTTAAATTTTTTAAATTAGAAAGATTGGATAAAAAGAAAAAAAATTAGAGCGAAAAAAAACTGTTTGTTCAAGAGAAAACTTTGAAGCCCCATAATTTTTTTCTTTTTATCAAATCTTTCTAATTTAAAAGATTTCAGATAATTATCAATGATTCTGCGTTGAATGAGACCAAATACTTGATGGTTGGACGCTCCTAGACCCACTCATTCATCATCGGCTACGGGGGTCCGAATGAAGCGTTGTAGCGGCGGCAATTTTTAACCAAAACTCACAAATTTGGTACCAATCGACGCAGAATTTCATTCGCTACAAGATGATATAATATTGTCCTCAAAGGGTTGCTCTAGAGCATTTGCCAAAGAAAGATTTGCCAAAAAATTTCATTCATAATCGGCTACGACATATACATTTCAAATTTTTGTCTTTACATTACAAAATTTGATTTTAAATTTGAATTGATTACAATATTTTACAGCTTTTAAAGCTTTAAGGGTTTTTTAAAGGCTTTTAATGTAAAAGTTTCCATTTTCGAACTTTCAAATTTTCATTTGATAAGCTGACGTTGCAGTGCCGGCAATTGACAATTCCATCGTGCTCCAAAAGACGCTCCGATTGTGCTGCGTTTTATGTAACCGGTTAGAAAGCGTTGAAAGCGGTTAGAAATCGAACTTTGTTTACTGAATATTTAAATAAGATTTAAATTAGAGAATTTTATTTTCAGATGCAATAAAAATGTTGTTCCTCTTTTTGTCACTCTCCATTTTATTTCGATTTTCGTTAGCGGGGAGTTTCGACTCGAAAGAGTTCAAGGATTTTCAATGGCAGGTTGGCAAAAGTTATTCAGTTTATTAAATAAAATACCAGAAAATCTTATTGTCAAACTTGAGACTTGTTGCTCTCATTAACAAGTGGAACATTTGCATTTTAATAGCATTTTAATGGAAATCCTAAATGCTAATCGCTAAGTTGAATGCAAATTAAGTATTTAGTGACTGACATTATATCAAAAATAAATTCAAAATTTGTAGATAGATCTAAAATTGTAATTCAGATCGAAATTGACCGCAATCCGGCCGGATTCCCGACGGGGAAAGCCTTGGAAAAGATCAATCTTAACGATGATCAAGAGATCGGCTTGAAGATTATCGGAAAGTTGCCAAAAGTGGGTTGAAGAATTGAATTATTAGCTGCTTTAGCTTTCAAATAAAGTTTGATACCGTATTTCCTCTAATAGTAGTGCACCGTGAGCGTCGCCTAAATTCCTCGAAATCTCGAGAACCGCTTATCAGAACCTATCGATGTGGGGTCGGAAAATGTAGCTGACGATGAGATCTAGTGGGGGATTAAGTGCTGAGCTTCTGCAAAAGCTTGGAAACCGTAAAATAGTCACCAACTCGGCTCGCCGGGATGCACTACTATTAGAGAAAATACGGTACTTTTCGGCTATACCCTCGCCACCTCCCCATTCCGGTTACACCTCCGCCACTCCAAAATTCCAAAAAAAACAGACACACCATAGATCATGACATCAAAAAGAAAAGAGTATTGGGTGGATTTTGAAGAGCAATTTGACTCGTTCCACAGTCCACTCGTACATATTCTCATCGCCGATTTCGTGCCAGACCATAAACTCCGATAGGTAGCTTGAGAGAAAAGCACGGCTCGTTCTTTCTTGGTTCTCCACTCGACCGCACCCCACATACGCTTAGATCATCCGGATTTAGAAAGTTGAATTTGTGGTTGACTTTCTCATGCGAATAACCAGCATCCTTGGAAATGGCTGTGAAAAAAAGCTTTCCACGAGTCATTGTAAATCATCGATCCGGTTGCAATGAATTTCAAAAACTTATCAACGATCTTGGTACTCCGATCAGCCACCTCAACAAGGAAAAATTTGTTTGGGTGGCGGGGGTATAACCGAAAGGTACCTAAAGTTAAAGTACCGAAAAGTACCTAAAGTTTACATGTGAAGAAGATTCACAAGTATCGTTAAATTTATTTTAGGAAACCGATCAAGGCTATCTCTTCATCACGAGCAAGAGCGGGCAACGGTTCGCGTGCTCGTTACCGGAGAAGCCAGCGCCAAAGGTAAAATAAAATTGTTTTATATACTATGTACTATGTACTTTGTGCTCTAACGGAAACAAACCCTATCTAGTGTAAATTTTGGTTTTGAAAGTTGTTGTTGTTGTTGCAAGAGAATCGCCGTTTTCTTGGATAGCTGAAGAAGTTTTGAAGAAGCCGATTTTGAAATAGTGAGAGCTAGATTTTAACTAAAGAATTCTTAAATTAAACAGAATTAAATGCAAATTTAAATGCAAATTTCAGAGATGGATTAAGATTTTCATTAAATTACGAATTGGTTTAACAAATTAGTTTAACAAATTTTCCAACCTTTCAGGCTCCAATCTCTTACGATTCTCTGAATCCGAGGTATGTGGCTGAAATTGTATCGGCTGCTTTTTACGTCAAAGGATGTCTGGAAAAGGTACCGTAAATAGTACCCCACTGTAATAGTACCCCACGCTCCCTCGTACAGTTGCGTAGTCGCAAAATTTTGCAAAAGTTTTTTAGTATTTCATTTTTTTCAAAGCGCCCGTACTTTCAAAAAATTCGTCTTTGGTATCAAAAAATAGCCCTGAATTTCAGCTATTTTTTGATAGCTTTTTGATTTTTGTATCATAAACCAGTGTCGAGAAAAACTCGTTCAAAGCTAGACTACGCAACGCTCCCCACGGTCATTATGGGCGGTGGGGTACTATTACAGTATTTACAGTAATTTGTTTTGGAAAAATCTTCTAAATTAATAAGTCTCCTATTGAAAATGTGAATTTTTTCCAGGGTACCGGCTGGTGGTCGTACGAGTTTTGCCGCGGAAAGCAGATCACCCAATTTCACTCGACTCCGCAAAGTTTGTTCAAATTTTGAGAGGCTAATTTTTTTAAAATCTTTGACAAATTAGATAAATTTACAGTAAGTGGCTATTAAAAATGTTCTGAATAGAGCTAAAGTACTCTTTTAGAGCCTGGATATGTCGAGTATTCTCTGGGAATCGCTACGGGCACATTCCGAATGCCAGAGTTCACTCATTCAACCCAAGATCAGTAAGTTTAAAGAGTAAAGTAGTAAAAGTTTGAAATGGTAAAAGTCTGTAATAGTACCGCACCGCCCATAATGACGGTGCGGAGCGTTGCGTAGCCTAGCTTTGAACGAGTTTTTCTCAACACTGGTTTATGCTACAATGCTCTCAAAGGTATCAAAAAATAGCCCTGAATTTCAGCTATTTTTTGATACCAAAGATGCATTTTTTGAAAGTACGAGCGCTTTGAAAAAAATGAAATACTAAAAACTAAAAAACTTTTGCGACTACGCGACTGTACGGGAGGGGTGGGGTACTATTACAGTATTTACGGTAATATCTTTATATTGAAATACGTCTAAAAACTTATAGATTACTGTATATGGAAGAGGAATATAGTATGGGAACACTGTGTGATGTCGTTGGAAAGATGGTCCCGAGGAAAACGATTGTTCGCGTCAGCTTTATATTTGATTAAACAAAAATTGCATTAAATAATGTCATGAATCAAGAAATTAGAAATAAACTCAATTTCCAGTATCAATGCGATCAATCACTGTCAACGAGTGAAGCCTACATTTACAGTATCCGGGAAGTCGCCTCTTGCGACTATTTGATCATTGGTGAGTAGATGGTGATCGAAAATGATTCCAACAACTAGCACAGCTTAGCATAAAAGCATCCAACAACTATTAGCATAAAAAGTGAAGGGTTTAAGAGTCAGTCACGAGCTACAATACAGCTACAATACAGCTACGCTACAGCTACAATACAGCTACAATACAGCTACAATACAGCTACAATACAGCTACAATACAGCTACAATACAGCTACAATACAGCTACGCTACAGCTACAATACAGCTACAATACAGCTACAATACAGCTACAATACAGCTACAATACAGCTACAATACAGCTACCATACAGCTATGATACAGCTACAATACAGCTACAATACAGCTACAATACAGCTACAATACAGCTACAATACAGCTACAATACAGCTACAATACAGCTACAATACAGCTACAATACAGCTACAATACAGCT